GGGGAAGAGTAGCTGGAAACAGGAGGCGTGACCCTGTGGCTTCTTGGAGAGGGTGAAATTAAAAAGGGGAGGGGCCTTTCTGTTCAGGAGCCGTGACCCCTGCCTGCGGGCTCAGTGGGAGGGTGGTTTATATGGCGCGGGCTTCCAAGAATCGGACAAATCTGGAACCACGCTGGGCTCTCTCGGCTGCTAGCGGTCAGCCTTAAGGTTTACCGTGGAATCGGCAGATTCCTGACAGTCGGGCCTGCAGGACCGGTGGATCTCGAAGCTTCACGGCAATAGAGCTCACTACCTCAAGAGACTACTGTGTGTAATTTCCATAAACTTAGCATTTTGTAAATCCTGCGTAGTTCAGTGGGATACTATCTTTATAGAGTGCTTCTATAGCACTGAAGAAAGGAAGAAAATATAAATACAAGTAAATCATAGGTGATAGGGTAGACAGTGGCCTCAAGCAGTCCTCCCACAGCCCTAAGGTAGGGGCAGCTCTACGCCAAACGCTTCAGATCGGTGACTGCCTCACTAGAAGTCTCCCGGATGGGGATCTTGTGTCCCTACAGACAATGTTTCTCATTATAGCCTTAACATATAAAAGCTGCCATTTAAGCCTAATGTTTCTTGTCTTATCCCTGCAAGGCAGAGAGAACAGGTTTCCCCTTTTCTCTCTGTTGTTCCTCAAAAGGCAGACCCAAGGGAAGTGTGACGCTGATCCCTGCGTTGTATGCTTTATCTCCCCATAATAAGAATTCACAAAGAGAGGAGTTTAAAAAAAAAAAACCAAACCAAACATGCGGAGGCATGCAGCATGTTTTCAGTATGCACAACTTTTATTTTCTAGTTAGTTAATACAATTGCTTTTAAAATGCAGCTTTTTAAAAGGGTAAAAAACTTAAAATATATCTCCAAATTTAATACCTGACATGCAAAGACAGAGTACTCAAAGTGCATACAAAAATATCACTTCATTCTACTGGAAAAAGATAAGCATGTCTAGTTGCATTACTTACGGATGTTTGAATTAGTACAAAATTATGTAGAATTTTAGCTTCATTACAAAATCCATTATTTTGGTATCCTTCGTTTTGATGGATACATAGAAGCACGTACCCCCCGGCCCACTGAGAAAGGTATTTGAATGCCTTCTGCATGTTACCTCTTACCGTTCTGTGTAACTGTAAGCTTTGTGTGCAATGCTATTTTTGAGGAAAAGTCGAATATTTTGTGCCAGTTAAATTAAGAACAAATACAACCATGGCTTGAAGAAATGTGCAGGCCAAGAATAAGTGCATTGCATCATATTTTAGCACAATTAATTCCAGCTGAAATGTCATCATTTGGAAAGGAAACTGGAAGACGGCAGGGGGGTTGGACTAGATGACCTTTAGAGGTCCCTTCCAACCCAAACTATTCTATGATTCTATGATTTAATTGCTTTTTTTAAATACCTGTATGGACAAGAACTAGAGAAGGTTCAAAAAATAACGTAAACCCGCATTTCTGTCAGGTAAGAATCTATACTCAAACTTCACAGTGCAGATGTTCTCTTGAGGAAGAAAAAATTTCACTGCTATCATTTTTTATGCCATCTTTTCCATAGTATGTGTTCTGCGTAAAAATTAGCTGAAACCTCACTTATCAGTCCCAGGTAGAATATTTTATTTTCCTTTCTACATAAAATGTACATCCACTTTAGAAAAGCAATACAGCTTCTGAGAAAGATGTTGCTGGCCTTGTCCTCCATCACTGTGTGCTGCATGCACTGGCAACAGTGGCTTATATTCAGATTAATGTACACTGGGGCCATGGCCTGATAGGAAAAGTTTTGTCAGTAACGTGGGCAGAAGTGCCAGCCTCCTGCGTTAGGCTGGCGAATGGAAGGGGAGAGAACGAGGACAGGTAGCGCTAAAAGCGGGAATTGTCAAATCACAGCCTGAGCCTAAGCATTAGTGTAAACAGAAATTAATACTTCCGTCTGAGGAGGTGCAGATCAGTCTGATTTGCCGCTTAAACACGTGCCTAATTCTCAGCTTGTGGAGATGCCAATCTGACACACAAATGGCGTATGTCTCTTTGTAAATACAAACCTGCGTTTTTGCTGGCTTGGACTGGAACATCAATATCATCTAAGTTCAAGCCTGTATTGCATTTGAAATGAGAAACTTCACTGACTGTCATGAGGACTGAAATTTCTGCCTTAATTAGAGAATAAAGATGTCGGTCTGGTGATGTTACCTACTGTGTGAGATACTGTCCAACTGACTGATGGTTAGAGGATTTTTTTCACTGATTTTGATGGCGTTCACTCAGGTCTTTAGGACAGAATAATTTATTTAGTGCTTAGCTTTTCACCTTAGATTTTCCGCTAACATTACTTGCAGCAAAAATCTTCCCTGTGCAGTGTGATATAGGAAGATTTCTCTGATGTAATCAAATAAGGAGACATAAATATGTGAACATACTGAAGCTAATTAGCCCACATTGTGAAACTTAAAAGGGATTTTATACCTGGACATTTCTTACACTTCTGTTATTATCAGTTCCTTCATCATACAGAGGTTTTTTTCCATTTAAAAAATTAATGTAGTGCTAAAAAATTTAAAGTAGCGGTCTGTTTTCCATCAAAACACGTTTCGTCTTCATGAAAAGTAAGAACAATTGATTTGCTACGTATCTATTTTATATAGTCCTAAAGTAAGGATTAAAGTTTTGCGCATCAAATCCTTTATCTTTTGTAAATTATTGCACTTGTGCATTATGGACTATCAAATGTAAAAGAACAGCAGCAGTCTGATGTAGAATATTAAAAGAAAAAATACGCTATATAAAAATATATTCATTAAACTAAATAAACTCCTATATTCCATTTTTAAAAAAGCCCCAAACCTCTATACTAGGTCACATTCTGACTTGTTTGCACTCAGTAGCAGCCTGTTCTACAGATTCCACTAAGTACTTGGGGACTAAAGTTTTCGTTAATCTAATTTATGTCATGATCTGCCTCTTGATGAAAGATGCGTAACCTAGCCAAAATGATCTTCTGTGTATACTTCATTTTAGGGACGATCATTAATAGTAGTGCATGATTTGCTACAATGGGATTAATACAGAACTGATGAACTCATATCCAAGGGTCTTTTCTATTGAAACTTATCCTGTTTGAAGTTTTATAGTAGTTCAGTGCCATTTTCTGTTCATGTGACTGTTTCACCTATTTCAGTTACCTAACAACCTGCAGCAATCTAAGGAATTGCTTGGAAAAAATGATCACGGTACATTTTTCAAGACTTGTCAGCACGTATGCTCCCACCAGTGTTCTAGAATTGCAAAGCCTTGGCCAGCTAGAACTCCTGCTAGGCATTGTGCAAATACAGAACAAAAGGCCTGCCATCCCAAGATTTTGGCCTCTTCAACTCTCCTGGGCAGAGCACAAAGCAGCTTTTCATCCTGTACACACTGATGAAACAGTGTAACGCACCTTCTGCCTGACTAGTCCCAAAACTGAGTACCTCTTTCGTAATAGTCTTCTGATTTTTTTTTATCAATATATCGTACCAAAAAGTGCTTGCTGAATCAGGTCCAGAATATTTCTGGGATAACGTTAGCTAAAATTTGGAGATTTCTAGAGATCTGTATCATTCAGACAATCAATCAGAGTTTTCTTCAAGTGCAAAGATTGGTTTCATTGCAGAAAACGCGTATATAGTACCGGTGCATAAATATTGCTGTGAGTTCACAGGTAAGACAGTACCAGCAGTCCATCTTCATGAAGCAAGTCTGCGCATAGCCTAGTGAAATGGTTTTCAGAAGGTGGAGAGAAACAGGCCATGGTTAGTTCTGAGTACACACCGCTTGGAAAAAGAAAATGTTTGTGTATGTGTTAACTAAAAACTACCAAGTTCAACCTGGCCTCAGTGAAAGTACAGAGAAAGTAACTGTTCTGAGGCAGCTGCCCTCTGACTTGTGTCTACATCGGACAATTCAGTCAGGAAGCTGCAGGTCTGAAGGTTACTAGCTCTCACCTTCAAAATGTGGCTATAAAGGTGGAGGACAGAAGCCTCTCGGAACACTCTGACCTTGGATCGGTAGTTTTGTGTCTGGCTTCTTATTTAATGAGAATAATACAAATATCTAACCAATCCTGTGGATAGAAATCAGAATTCAAATCTCTTTGGCCTGCCAGTCCCAAATGCTTCTGTTACAGAATCATGGTGTCTTTCTAGCTTTTTCAATCCTTCATTCCTTTCTGCACTGTGACTTACAGGGGAGTGGAAAGTGCTTCTCCCCGTATTAGTGATAAGGAATAATATTTGGGTCTCTTGCAATATTCGTACCAACCAAAAAAGGAGGGGGTGAATCAGGAGTACCAAGTATCACAATCTATTTACCAAGCCCTGATGAAGCTTGAGAGGCTTTTGCTTAGGGTCTCAGTTTCTCCTCTCACCAATCTGCCTTCCAAGCTGACCTTACCTTTTCCTACGGGACTTCATGCTGTGGTAGAAACTACAAAGCAGGGAGATGCTGAGAACCTCTACCCAGCCACAACCTCCTCTTACCTACTTGCCTCCAGGGACCTCTACATCCCACACGCACAGCAACCTTGCTGCAGCATTTTGCTACAGCGTGACACAGAGAAGGGTCACAGAACCGCCAGCCACCAGCCCCTTCCCACTCCTGCTGCTGGAGCAGAGAGGCCAAGCACAGGGCACTACCCCATTTTAGATCGGGAATTAAGAATGGAGTTCTGACTAGTACCACAGTAGCATAATAGGAGGAACACATAATAATCATGCCTTTACCTACATGGAGTGTTGTAATGCTTCCAAGGTATTGATGCATCACTAGTTTAATCCACCTCAGGCTATAAAAGGGCACTTAGCCCAATCTCCTGTTTTCTGAGTAAGTGGCCTGCGCGCTGCACCATTATTTTAGCAGTAAGTGCTACTTTACTTTCTGGCAGTATTCTGTAAATACACAATACCATGGTATTGCTTTAATGGACTTGTATTGTTGCATGTTAGTTACGTTCAATACACTGCTTTGCTGCAGCTTCCTGTAAAATGTTCAGATTGTGCAAGAAGGTGTCTGTTGTGTTAAAAGGAGGAATGAGAGGGGGAGGTTGACCATAATTTTGGATGCAGGTGCCTCAAGCCTTATCAAGTCTTCTTTTAGGTACCTAACTTGTCTTTAGATCTATTTATAAGCCCGTGTAAGGCAAAAGTAGTCCTAAAGCGACAGAGATCAGGAGATGCTTCTGCACATATAATCTACTACATCTCAAGAAAAACTTGACCTCCTCCACTAAGCACTGACATTCAGGTACCCAGGGAGGGTATTTATTTATGGAGAAGGAAACTGTTGAGGGCTCAGTTCATCCGCCATACTCTCACAGCATGACTCAATGCTACAGGCAAAGGAATAAAGCCAGCAGTATTCTGTAAATAATAGACACATTCAGTTCTGAAGTGTGTACCTCTTCCTGAACATCAAGTTCATCATCAGGCCGGCTTGCTTCTGTGAATTCCATGGGTTCTTTAGACTCCTGCATGAGCGAAATCTTGGCAGAAATAGAAGAAACATGATGAGCTACGCGTTATCCGTATCATTGAAATTGATTTATTACTCTGAAGTACCGTAAGATAACTTCCACAACTTACAGGAGTCTGTTGTTTACTGTTCCTAGACAACACTGTTGATTTAGTTTAGCTGAGAGGAACTTAAATGTTGAAAAGCTTATGGTCCTGCCTCTCCTCATATGACTAGTTATAGCTTTGTAAAAATAATAAAAGCAGAATCTATCTCTAAGCTGCTGTACACCTTTGTCAAAATGTTAATCTCTACTATAAGACAGTAGTATGCAAAAATTATCAAAAAATAAGGGTCCCGTCCTAGTTAGTTATCAGTCAGATTAATTTTAATTGCTATTTATTCATAATACTGTAATAGTGATTGCTAGGGAAGGAATTGTGGTGAAAAGACAGGGGAACATTATAAGGCCATTTTCCTAATGTGGGCCCACAGCTTTAAATGCTACAGAGTGTTCTGGTTATCTCAAAAAACAGAATACAACTAGGAAAGGCACAGAGAAA